TTCCCCAGCCACTGCCCATCTCTGGCCCCACATAGCTCCTTTTATGTGATTCTCATCCCAGTCCTGATTGGCTGTTCCATGAAGCCTTCCTGCAATTGGCTGCTTTCAGCATAGCCTCTCTAAGCTGCTTGGAGGACTCACCTCCACTGCTCCTTTCTGGGACACGGTGTGGAGGGCCCATGGGGCGTCTATTAACCCCTTCTGCTCCCATCTGAGGTGAATACCCCATCACAGGCTCAAAGCCCTGAACTAAACTAACCCTTGGACGACATAAGAACAAGAATGGCCGTACTGGGTCAGACCAAAGGTCCATCCAGCCTAGTACCCTGTCTGCCAACAGTGGCCAATGCCAGGTGCCCCCGAGGGAGTGAATCGAACAGGTAATGATCAAGCGATCTGTCTCCTGCCATCCATCTCCACCCTCTGACAAACAGAAGCTGACGACGCCATTCCTTACCCATCCTGGCTAATAGCCATTTATGGACTTAACCTCCATGAATTTATCTAGTTCTCTTTTAAACCCTGTTATAGTCCTAGCCTTCACAGCCTCCTGAGGGAAGGAGTTCCACAGATTGACTATGCGCTGTGTGAAGAACACACAGAGGTTCTGTTTCCTTCTCTACCACACACTCTCTGTGTGGCCCTGTGGGACTCATTTAGTCTCAAAAATACTTACAGTGCTTATCTCAATTTGAGTTAGACACCTGCATTTCTTTGGGGATCTGGCCTTCTCTGTGCCACATTTCCTCGCCTGAAAACAGGGAGAGGGAAAGTAACATTTCCTTCCCCACCATCCATCACGTGATTAGCCTGTGGACTCCGCGGGGACTGGGCCCCTTGCACACCACGTGTTTGTGCCACGCCTGGCCACATAGGACCTCAATCTTTGCTGAAGCCTCTCGGGGCTACTATCATACAAATAAATAAGAACAGGCCTAGCCGCAAACAGGCCCTTCTCTAAGGTTTCGAATGATCTGATTCGCTGTCTTTGGGGTCCTTTTCCAGGGCTCTAGAGAATCTTCGGGATGAAACAAACCCCACGCTCTGAGGAGTCTTGAGGACCAGTTTAGCATCCTGCGGAAATTCCCTGGGGTGAGATTGGAGTCATAATTGTAACATCCTCCCCTAGTAACGACACCCACCCGGATCCCAAGACACCCTTCCAGCCTGTAAGTGCTGAGGCTACTTCAAGAATCTGGGGAGTCGTGTTACACATGGGTCATTTCCAGATAAGATCCAGCTCCTTGCTCAGGTCTAACTCAGGCTACAGCCCAGAGATCTCAGAGCTTCACATGCTACTGTACTGATCAGATGTGTGTCATAGGCCCTCTATAGCTAACATCTAATGGAGACGCCCATTAGGTCAGGTTGCACTGTCATCTCAAATGGGATGGTGTAACAGGGCAGCACCCAACTCTCACGAGCACCCCCCTTTTGCTGAGTGCTTGTCCCTACATTCTCTCAGTTTGAAGTTAAAAGTGTATTCGTCAGCTCAGCGCCCCCGGCCGAGTCACACCCTGTAAGATCCACAAACACGGTCACACTTAACAGGGCCCATCTTGGTTCCCTCTGCTAGTGTCCTTCAGCCTGTTCCCTCAGTCTCTTCCCCACTCTGATTGAGAGCGGTGCCTCCAGGGCGTCGCCTCCTGGAAACAGCATCCTCACTCTTACCTTTAGGGCAAGGGTGGCCTTACCATGAGGTGAACTGGAGCAGCCACCTCAGGTGCCAGACTGTGGGGGGGGGGGGCGCCCCTAGGACCTAGAGTGTAGAAAATTGTGTCTGCTGCTGGTGCAGATGTGTTCTCTATGCAGTGCCATGAGAGGAGTAGAACAGGAAGGAGGCAGAATTGGGACCTTTCAAAGTTTTGGCCCAAGCGAGAGGGCATAAGGGTGTCATTTGAGCTCCCTGTCTCAGGGATAGAGTGGATAGAGTGCAAAGAGCCACGTATTATATATTTATTTTTATGTAGCCATAGAAAGATAGCTAGATAGCTTTAGGGCACAAAATGTCGTGATTAAAAATAACATTACAGGACATTTCGGACAAAAACTAATTAAAATGTCTAATTGCTTAAGCCTAGCAAACCTTTGAATTATCTTTAAAGAAACACAGTGTAAACCAGGTACACGCTGATTCTTTTTTTGCCCTGGAATTTAAATATGACATCTGTGCTGGCTGCCTTATTTTGCATCCATGAACACTTTGAGTGCTTCAGCCTGCCCCTGCTCTAACCCAGTTCCCCTCCTCCCCCCAGAGCCAAGTACACACACACACACACACACACACACACGCTCTAACCTAATGCCTGGGTGCTGGAGCTGCTGCCGCTGCCACCATGCACTTCTTCCTCCAGGCACTGTAGCACGTGTGCTGAGCAGCCGGATGTGAACACGCACTGGGACACTGTGTGCTGAGCAGCTGGCCTGAGCAGTACCAGCAGGAGCCGCATTTTTTTTAATCAAGGAGCCGCATGTGGTTCACAACAGCTCTCACATGGAGCTGTCTGCTGTGCTGCCAGCTAGTCTCCTGATCTGCACTCCTTGGGTGTGTCTAGACTACTGGGTTTTGTCGACAAAACTATACCTGCGTCCACCCTGACATAACATCGACAGAACTCGGCAGTTTTGTCGACAGCTGTAAACCTCATTCTATGAGGAATACCGCCTTTTGTCGACAGAGTTCTGTCCACAGAAGGCATTATTGCATCTACACTGTCCTTTGCATCTACACTGTCGTGTTGACAAAGCGGCTTGCTTTGTCGACAGAACTGGATGTAGTCTAGGTGCTCTTTGTCGACAGAAGCTTTGTCGACAGTATCTGTCGACAAAACTTCTGTCGACAAAAGCCTGTAGTCTAGACGTACCTCTTGAGACCTCCAGTGGCACTGAGGTGACTTTGCTCCTGCAGCTCCTCTTATAGGCCTCCGTGGTTCCTGATTGGCTCCTTCTCCTTCAGTCACTCTAGCCTGCATGGAGGACTTCTCTATTGTCCTTTTCTGAGGTAGAGTGTGGCAAGGCCACAAGCCTCCAGCACGAGGTTTCGGGGCCTGATCCACCCTGTTCGCCATGCCCATTCTCCCCTAGATGCAATATCTACGTCCTTTGTTGGATCAGAAAACCATGTGTCAGGTGGGAGTACTGTGTGGGGGAGGGAAGGGAGATGGGAAAAGTCCACTGCCCCTAATGCTCACCTCCTTCCTGCCGCAGACCGTGGGAAAATTAATTCCATCCAAGGATACTTTCTGAGCCATACCCTCAGCTTGTGATTTCCCCCTCCTCCCCATGCACACACCCTGAGGGTGGTACTATTGCAGAACAGGAGAAGGCTAGACAGACAGGCTGACTGACAGACAGAAGAGATATATGGGGATAGAGAGAAAGTGAGACAGATGAGTGTATGAAGAGAGCAAAAGTGAGAGGTAGAAATGACAATCACTCAATGGCTAGAATCTTATGGCAAGAGACAGACAGTCTCTGGATTCAGCTACATTGCAATAAAAGATCCCCCAGCAGTGAATCTCACAGCTGGCACCAATGACTTGGGTTCGTAAATAGCAGCATAGACATTGGAGCCTGGATTCTGGGATCTTCCTCCCTTGCCAGGTCTGAGAGCCCGGGCTGCAGCCCCAAAGTCTACGCTGGTGGTTTTAGCCCCATGGCCCAGGCTCCATGAAGCTGAGCCAATAGACCCAAGCACCAAGACTCAGTGGTTTTTGTTGTGCCGTGCAGGCATGCCCTTTGGGTGAAATGCTGGCCTCAGTGAAATCAGCAGAAGTTTTACCATTGACTTAAACAGGCCAAGATTTCCCCTCTCAGTCAGGCAAATAGCTGGATTGCTTGGTCAGTCTGTCTCTCTGTCTGTCTCTCTGACAGATTAGATCAGACAGATGCTATTGAGTGAGCCACCGGCTTAACTTCACCCAAAAGCCCTGTAGAATCACAGCCATGGCCCATCTGTTTCCGATTACAGCTTTTCATAGCTGATGAAATGGAGAAGGCCCCGTCCATGCCTGGATTTTTAATACCCTCATCGTTCCCCAAGTGAATCGCTGGCGCTTTTGGTTACTCTGGGCAATGAAAGAGGTCTGCATGGTGACTATATCCCTGACTGTAGGAAATCTGTGAAGAACTGGTGAGTTTGTTGAACAAGAAGACGGATTGGATTCTCCTTGTGCTGCACACACATAAAAGTTTGTCCCTGCCCAGAAGTGGCTTATAGGGTTAGATAATGTACAACACGAGTCATTTGTTATTAAAACTAATAAAATCCTGCCCCCTCGTGGCAAATTAGCAGTTTTCTCTTTTAGGCTCCACCAGTATTTGGAGAGGGTGAGGGAGACAGTCTTATAAGTGAGCCCAGGAATCGGAAGGGCTCACGCGCACATTACGGTGTCCCTGTTGGACAGAGAGGGCAGGATCTCAAGAACAAACATCCCAAGGTGATCACTGAATGAAGTATTAAGCATTCCTCGAGGTTACAGTGAATAGAAACGGCCCCTTCTCGCCCTTCCATTCAGTTGGCTGAAGTGGCGACATTCATTAGCTTTAATACATCAGCCAACCCCACGATCCTCCCGCAGGCTGACAGCCTGTCGCGTCCGGCGGCTGGCCCTCCTCGTGCGTGATCTCAGCCCACCCTGAGGTGCTTCCTAACCATTTCCCATCCCTTTTGCCCTCTCTTCTAGATGACTTCTTCTGCCAAGGTGTACTACAGCCAGACCACCCAGACCGACAGCCGGCCCCTGATCGGCTCCGGCCTGCGCAAGCGGCGCGTGATGACCAAGGATGGCAGGAGCAACGTGCGGATGGAGCACATCGCCGACAAGCGGTTCCTTTATCTCAAGGACCTGTGGACCACTTTCATTGACATGCAGTGGCGTTACAAGCTATTGCTCTTCTCGGCCACCTTTGCCGGCACCTGGTTCATCTTCGGGGTGATTTGGTACCTGGTGGCCGTGTTGCATGGCGACCTCCTGGAGTTTGAACCGCCGGCCAACCACACCCCTTGTGTCATGCAGGTACACACACTGACTGGAGCATTCCTCTTCTCCCTGGAGTCCCAGACCACAATCGGCTATGGCTTCCGCTACATCAGCGAGGAATGCCCCTTAGCCATTGTGCTGCTCATCAGCCAGCTGGTCCTCACCACCATCATGGAGATCTTCATCACCGGAACGTTCCTGGCCAAGATCGCCCGTCCCAAGAAGAGAGCCGAGACCATCAAGTTCAGCCAGAATGCGGTGGTCGCCCCACACAATGGCAAGACCTGCCTGATGATCCGGGTGGCCAACATGCGCAAGAGCCTGCTGATTGGCTGCCAGGTGACGGGCAAGCTGCTGCACACCTACCTCACCAAGGAAGGGGAGTGTGTCCGGCTCAACCAGGTCAACGTGAACTTCCATGTCGACACATCCTCTGACAGCCCCTTCCTCATCCTGCCCCTCACCTTCTACCATGTGGTGGATGACTCCAGCCCCTTGCGGGACTCCGCCCTGCGCACGGGCGAAGGGGACTTTGAGCTGGTGGTGATCCTCAGCGGCACGGTGGAGTCGACCAGCGCCACCTGCCAGGTGCGCACCTCCTACCTGCCGGAGGAGATCCTGTGGGGCTATGAGTTCAGCCCGGTCATCTCCCTCTCGGCCAGCGGGAAGTATGTGGCCGACTTCAGCCTGTTTGACCAGGTGGTCAAGGTGTCGCCCCTGTGCTGCGCCCACGGGTTCGGCGACCCGGACAAGCTGAAGCTGGAGGAGTCCTTCAGGGAGAAATCAGAACAGGAGGGCAGCCCCCTGAGCGTACGCATCAGCAACGTCTGATCCTGCCTATCCCCCACTGAGCTCCATGCTTCGGCCATTCTTTTCAGCTGGTTTTTTCTTCCTTCCTTCCTTCCTTCCTTCCTTCCTTCCTTCCTTCCTTCCTTCCTTTCCCTTTCCTGTCTCATGAAGCATCTCCAGTGCTCCATACCAGAGGATGGCAGCTATAGTTCCCCCAAAAGTGCCACTCCAGCCCTTGCTGGGTCCAGGAGCCCTTAGCCCAAGGAAGCAGCTGGGATGCAACTGTTCCTTCCTCCATGCCAAAGCCCTTTCTGTGCCCTCCTTTTCAGTGGTGTGGTGGGGGCAGCAGGACTGTCTGGGGGCCCCAGGGCCTCCTGGGGAGCAGCTGGCTCCCAGCCAGGAGGACTGCAGCCGCCCATCACAGAATATGGATTCTGCAGGGGCAGGGGGTCAGTCTCCCTGCAAACTGACCCTGTCCTCACCACCTCCACTCAAGCCTCATGCCCAGCTAACCTGCCAGAGAGAGGCGGAGACGGTACCAAGTGGCCCCAAGAAAAGCCGGCATCTCCCTTCCTGTCCAGGACCTAAGAACACAGACCACCCTGAATCCAACCCAGGACTATCTAGCCCACTAGTCTGTCTCCAATAGTGGCCTGCACCAGTATCCTCAGAGGCCGAACCGGCAGCAAAGGAATCAGCCATCTGGGGGGAAGTTTCCTACTGACCCAGAAAGCAGGCCGGTGTTTTGGGAGTTCCAAAGCTCTCAGCTCTTTTCTTAGCTCCTTCCTCTTCTAACTCTGGCTCGCCTTGCTACACACAGACAGGCCCAGCCCTTTTGCAAATCGTGCTAAGCTCCCGGCCTCTATGGCCCTTGTTCCAGCCGCTCACTGTGGGGGGAAAACATTTCTGTTTAAATTTGCTGTGGGGGTTTGGGGGGGCATATTTTGCCAACAGAAACAATGGATCTCGGAGTCCTCCCCATCCCCAAACTCTCTCCATGGGACTAAGGAGCGGGCAGCACGTGGCTTTGAAAAGAGAAATGCTCCCAGCTTCAAAATATCTTCTGCTGCCCACGGGCCTCTATGCAGTTCATGATGCTGGTCTGTTTTGCTTCACTGTTGTCCTGGGATGTTGTGCATGCAGTGTAGGGCAATGATGGGAGATTAATCCCCTTCAATTGCTTCTCAGTGCCAGGGACAGCGGAGCCAGGGTTGGTAAACCCACTCGCAGATGTCAGAGCCAGGCCTAAAAGTGAAGGACAGCAGAGCAGGCACTACTGCTAGTGAAACAACATCCCTATTGGCAGGTGACACCAGTGCTCAGAGCTCTCTGGGGACTTTCATTGCACTGAAGGGAAGCTGCCCATCAGCCGGAACAAGGCACAGTTTTGGCATCATCAGCTTGGACTGGTTTTTGGCCACCCCATGGTTAAAACACGGTAACAAATCCAGCATGGATTTCACTGCTGTTATCACCACGCTCCATGTTTGGCAAAGCTCGACAGTAGTTGTTCTCGGGCACTGCTGCCGGTGCTCCAGGAGAGTCCTCATCATCTCATGGCAGTACGGGACCTATGACAGGCAATCAAGCAGTTCTGATTCCATCCAGAAGAGGGCAGCGGTGACAGACGCACCAGCCAGCATGATTCCCCTACATTTATGTCAGAAACCAGCACCCCAGCAGAGGTTAAAATGAAGGCAGGCACTTACCTATCCTTTGTACCCAAGTCCCAGGTATGGGCATGCAGCTTAGACCAGCCTTACCTCCATTCCCAAACAGACCTGCTGTGATCTCATTCTTTAGTACTGTAAATTCCTGACATCAGAAATGCTGAATCCAGAAGCTGAGGCTATGGGAACCTTGATGAGTGTTACAGAAATGTTTGATCTCACTTGGTCCCAGGCTCTCTGATCTGCTGGCTATCACATCTGATCTTGGCCACATGTTTCAGGGGTCAATGGTTCACGGCCAAGTCTGGGAACTGAGTGGGGACATTCAGCCCTGTGTCTGAGCACTACGTTGTGTGTGTGTGTAGGGTGTCATTTGAAACGGATTTTGTTCTTGCCTCAAGGTCCCTGCGCCAGTTTGCACATGGGTCAATTTCTTTCATTTCAGGAGTAAGGAGTCGCAGTGGGGGGCGGGGGGCATGTAGAGTAGTTTTTAAGAGAAAAAAACTTCATACAAATATATTCTGATGAACATACACAATGGAGAAGCTTTGGCTTGACAACAGTATAGATCTAACTTTTTCAAAGGCAGAGGACTATTCAGGAAACTACTTGAGGGCTGAATTGTTCTCTGCTGTGTGAAAACAAAGGGAAACAATATTTAATTCTGTCTCTCTAGAGTGGAGGAATCATGTAAAAATGCAGACAGATTATTTTAGAGTATTAACCGGAATGAGGATAATAGATTCCACAGAGAGTTCTTTTTAATGAGGAAAGAGTTATTTAAAAAAAATCCAGCAAATCTAACACTTAAAGCTTAATATGTACACAGAAGCCAGGCAGAGTTTGAAGCTATTTTGACATCGTTTTTAACATGGTACACGCTGTATGTTATGAAATCCCAAGTGAATAACAGCTACAGAGACACTTTCCAAAGCTGAATATCAGAGTTGCTCCTCTGCTAGTTCCCTTTCCAAAATACCAGCAAAGATTTGATCCTGTTATGGAAAGGTCCTAGAGAAAACACCATCCTCTGATAGATTATCCCTGCGATCGTCTATGGGTTGGTTGAAAAAAACTCACAGGCTCAGATTGTCTGTTAAATTCTAGAGAACTCCATCATTTCTACTGTCCCCTGTTCTGTTTCTATAGCTCCCTATTAGTTTCAGCCCTACAAAACCATACAGAACTTTTCCCATTGGGGATATTAAAGTAGAATTACTATGCCCTGAACTAGCTGCACGTCAATTTCAGCACTGATACTCCCAGAAGGCAGAAAGAAAATGGTGTGTTTGTTCATAACCATGTCACTTACAAATGTCAGTTTCACATCCATTCCTGTCTCTTTGGACAATGAGGATAATCACCACACTCCTGAGCTATAGCCAGGCTAGGGGACTGAAGAGAACATCTCCTGATAGAGAAGGGAGAAGGCTGGATTGTGATTCAGGCTAAAATTGTTAGTTAAGTCCATGGTGGAATTGAGGGGAAAAATCCATAGTCATGGAAAGTTCACGGCCTGGCTGGGGGGACACTGAGTATGAGCCTGGCCTGTACTCACTCCAGAACAGCAGCTCCTGTTCTAGGGAGTGGGGGTTGAATCCCTTTCCAGGCAATCACCATGCAACTCAGGTTTGGTGCATCCATCTCTCCAGCTCCACAGAGGCAGACACACCATGCTTGAACCACAGAGCAACCGGGTGATCCCCATTGCAATGCCCAGAACAGGGAGGCAGGCTCCCAGGAGCTACCTCCGCAGGGGTTACAGACCTTATTAAAATTCATGCTATGATGAGTATAAAGGACAATTCTTTGTTGAGGATGCAGGGCGCAGACAGATCCCAGGGTTCTCTCTGGCTCTTCCGTTCCGGGGCACTCTGAATTCCAGCTTGGGCTCTCCAGGCTCTCTGGGGACTGCTGGCTATATTCAGGCATGCACACAGCATGCTTGCTCCTGCTGCAGTACTGGCTCTCCCTAGAGCAGAGATCTCATACTCCCAGCCTGCAGGCCATTCCTGGCCAGAGAATTACGCAATCCAGCCTGGGACTCCCGGCAGGCTGAGGTGGGGGGGCTGTCTGGGCCCCACCTCTTCCCACCATCGTTCCATCCCCTCCTCCCCCCCATGGCACACTGTCCCCAAGGAAGAGGGATCAGTGGTGGGGCCCCGTGATCTTACATAAATCAAACTGCACCATAGAATCTCTCAGGATAGAACTCCCAGGCTTAAGTAACAAGAGTGTAGCAGTAGGAATATTCTATTGAGCACCTAACAGGGGCCGAGGGGGTGATGGTGAAATGCTCTGGCAGATTGGAGAGTGAGCTCCCCTTCTCCTCCCACCAGGGTGAATGTGGGGGAGGGGGAGACAGCCACTGCTGCCCACTGGCACCAGGACCCCGCAGCTGGGAGTCTGAGACCCTGCCCTAGAGCAGCAGAGCTGGGATTACAGATGCTGTTGAAAGATCCAGCTTCATGTCCAGGCTCAGCCAAGCACAAAAAGCGTTTATTATTAGCATTTCATTAGCACTTATGTATGCCATCTGCTATTTATACAGACCCGCAGTGAGAGAGTTCCTGTCCCCAGAGCCAGCCGTAGACATGGGGCAACAGAGCGGAAAAGAGACAGGGTCAAGGTCAAATGCCGTGCCAGTAGCAGAGCCAGGGATCGATGTCAGGGTTTCTGCGTCGCAGGCTAGTGCCTTTCCCACTTTAAATATCATTGGACAGGCTTCCCGGGGTGCTGCCTCCCTGCAGGCCTGCATCTGCTCCTGCTTTGGGAGATGGGAGATTTGCCATGCCCCACAGCAGGCGGTCCGGAGAATACTACAGGCTTCTGTTGCAGCGGAGTCAGAATCCCAGCTGGGAGCAAAGGTTTCTACTGTGAGCAGCAGTGCCACCCTCCCTGTGACTGGCACACAGCCTCCTTTTCCCCACTATGCGGGGGAAGAGAACCTCCAAGCTCTACTCTTCCATCCCCTGGCTCCTTCCCCAGCATCGCAGCCTGGGTGTGTAAACTCAGCTGCTTCCCTTCATTTTTCATCAGGACTGTTGGCAAAGGTCATGAATGCAGCATTTCTCCCCTGCAGCAGGGGGACAGGATGCTGCCATCAGGCTGGCTGGCATCCCAGCTCTTTTTTTCACCCAACCCGCCCCAAACGTTGCCGACTTTACAGAACGATTGCAAACCGAGATAGTTTCTCTCACCACTGAAATGCAGCTGCCTCTGGGGAGATTTAGCTTGGCCAAATGTTGATATCCAAGGTGGGATGAGGCCAAAATTCTGAGGATGATGCACCTACATGCCATGGGATTTTAAATCATTATTCTGTACTGTGGTATTCACAGACCAGGACCCTCTGGAGCTAGGCACTGTACATGGAACAAAGACAGGTTCCTCCCTGCTCCAAGGAGTTGAGAGTCTAAGCAAATGACCACACATGACTGGAACCTCCTTGTAATCTCTCATCTGCCAAATCTACTCATTGAGTCAGGCTCTCAGGAAAGCAGGTGTGGTGTTGTCCACATGGAGCCAGGCCAGTTTGAACTAGGAAGGAGGTGAAAATAAAATTGTTTGGAAAAGAAACAGAGAACATCCCCAATTCATCATTATATTTGATGCTAGACTGTGATTACACCCCAATCAATCTCTCCCCTCTCTCCAGTCTCCACCTCCAACTTGTCCCAAGTTAAAATGGAAAGCTCCTTATTTAGTTGTACTGATTTAATTGAACGTAGTAGGCAGGTGCTGAAAGTTTGGCTGTGGGCTGTGAGGAGAAGCCCCAGATCATGAAGAATGTGAGAGCTTCCTGGATTCTAGAATGTAATTGTAATTGTGCCAGGGTTCCAAGTCTTGCAGAATGTTAAGGGCTTTGTTCCATTTAGGAAAAGAGATTAAAAAAAAAAAACCTTTTTCATGCTTAAAGAAGTTCCATGGAATTTTTTAAACAGGTTGACACTTAAATTTAACAACTATAAAACATTTCTGTGCAGAAATAGCTCCTGGGTAGGAAAACAGAGGACAAGGGAGAGAGAAAAAACATTATAAACACTTGATGATTTTTAGAAAAATCTTAGACTTTTCCCAGAGTGCCAAACCTCTCTGGATTCTCTCTCCTATCTCTGAGTGCTGGCTGCTGTGGATGGGTGCCACTGCCCTCTACGGAGAGAATCAGAGCAGACCGTTTCTGCTTCACAAACCAGGTCACATTATACAGTGTGAAACCAGGGCCCTGACTTTTTGTGATCATTAAAACAATGTCTTGCCTTTCTCTAGCATATTTCTTCCAAGGATCTCAAATGTTACACAATGAAGTCTGACAACTATCCTGTGAGGCAGACAAGGCACCAACTCACTGTGAGGCACCAGCCACTGAAATGCAGCCACCTCTGGAGCGGAACGCAGCAGCTAGTCAAACAGGGACAGGCATAAGGATCTTGAGCAAAACGGGGGTTTTGCGTAAAACAGAAGGGGCAACACTGCTTCTTTTTGTGCAAAAACCCCTTCTGCAAAAAGAAACAGCAGAAAATATGCTAACGATATCACGACTTATGTTAATGAGTCCCTCATTAACATATTTTCTGCCACAAAAACTTGCAGTATAGACATAGCCACAATGCACAGCAACATTGTACAACAACTTCACATGCAAAGAAGAGTGTGAGCATATTTTCTGCCACAAAAACTCTCAGTATAGACTTAGCCACAATGCACAGCAACATTGTACAACAACTTCACATGCAAAAAAAAGTATTAGGAGGAGGGATAGCTCAGTGGTTTGAGCACTGGCCTGCTAAACCCAGGGTTGTGAGTTCAATCCTTGTGGAGACCATTTAGGGATTTGGGGCAAAAATTCATTAGGGATGGTACTTGGTCCTGCTGAGAAGGCAGGGGACTGGACTCAATGACCTTTCAAGATCCCTTCCAGTTCTAGGAGATAGGCAATTTCCATTATTAAAAAAAGTATTGTAACTTATAAACATGATATAGGCATTGTGACCAGAATTCCAGCTAACCTCCCTGTTTAAACAAATGTGTTGCAATGGTAGAAAAAATTGTGTGTCTGAAAACTGTAGGTACTGGGGGTACTTATAATTTTTTTTTAAAGGGGTACTTTATAAAAAAAAAAGGTTGAGAAACACTGGCACAGCGCTTAACTGAGTGAATCCAGCCCAAAGAAACTCCACAAGGGTGCAACAAGTCAACAGCACCTGATTCCTCATAGCCCAGCCCCGCCGAGCCTGCCTCGGACTCATTTCGAGGCTCTCCAGTAGTGGGGACACGCTATTTTGATGTTGTTATTCCGGGAGATATCATTTGGAATTGAGTTATTTTGAAATAATTTCCTAGCGTAGCCATGCCCTGAGATCTTTCATGACAAGAGAGCTCAGGAGGGCATCTGTTTCACCAGGAGAGGCTGGAGGTTACAAGAAATACTGTAACACCTGCAGCCCCACAGGACCTCTCACCCCACACAGGGGTTTTCATTCCATACCTATCCAAAAGAAAAAGCACTTCCAACATATCTGCAAACACTCCTCCGCCCTCGCCCCCTCCCCCGGGAGTTTACTGCAGATCTCCTTCCTAAATAGGATTTAGCATCAACCTGGCATCTTCAAAAAAACAAAGGCACAGCTGCAAAAAGCAAAGGCAAAGGAGTCACTGCCTTAAGAGCTAGTATGAGCAGTCTCTTAGGCTACGTCTCCATTGGCATGATCTTGTGCAAATACTCTTTAACGCAAGAGTCGCTATTTACCTCTGGACCAAGTGGGTGGAGCACTTCCCAGTCAGAAAAAAGAGCAATGCACCCTGACTTTGGCCCTGGTGTAAAGAGCGGTGCACTGGTGAATCTGGCCCCTTTGTGCCATGTGTTGATACAGAGTCGCTATTTACCTCTGGACCAAGTGGGTGGAGCACTTCCCAGTCAGAAAAAAGAGCAATGCACCCTGACTTTGGCCCTGGTGTAAAGAGCAGCGCACTGGCGAATCTGGCCCCTTTGTGCCATGTATTGATACCCCCATCCCTGACACTGACCTCCCCAAAGTGGTTTGGGGAGTCCAATTACAAACAAACCCAACTAGCCTTAACAGAACAATCTGATTTCTCACCTGGGCAAATCCTACTGAATTTCCTCTCTCCTGTAGCCCGCTTTGAGAGACACACTCACCCAGCACCTGGCAGGACTTGTGACAACATGAGAAACCGACAGCACCGTTAGTTTTAAGTGTGGTAGAGGAGTAACTCTGCAGTTTGAGCATTGGCCTGCTTAAATCCAGGGTTGTGAGTTCAATCCTTGAGAGCCCTACTTAGGGATGTAAGGCAAATCTGTCAGGGATGGTGCTTGGTTGCAGCAGGGGGCTGGACTCAATAACCTCTCAAGGTCCCTTCCAGTTTCATGAGGTAGGTGTATCTCCATGTATTATATAGACCAGGCTTTTTGCAGCACTGACATTGTAAAACCGGATTAGAGGCTGAAATGAATGCTCCCCTGTGGGGAGGTAGATAAGGCAGCGAACATGTCACCAGCATGGCCTATACCTGTGATTTTTTGCAATAGCTGGTACTTTTCTGAATGCCCCAGCTCCTGGAGTCCTGTGATTCTGTGGGCACCTCAGCATCTGTTTTCTTTTAAAGGAAGTTTCTAGCCTTTGTGGGTGTAGGTCAAAGTAGCCCCAGTGCATCCCTAGAGATTCAGTGGCTAGAAGGCAAATAGAAAGGACTCTGCTTTAATGATTCCTGAATGCTTGGGGCTGGCGATGCTGTATCACTCCTGGTTCGGAAGGGTCCACATGGGTTCTGGTGGTACTCTTGACACGAAGGTCCCTTTGCCCCACTCTACCAGCCGAAAAAGCACAGCTGTAACTGCAAGATGCACTTTACACAGCCAGGGCAGTGGGAGCAAGGATCCAAGCCCCGAATCGACGATGAATGGGTTCTGGGGGTACTCTTGACACGAAGGTCCCTTTACCCCACTTTGCCAGCCGAAAAAGCACAGCTGTAACTGCAAGATGCACTTTACACAGCCAGGGCAGTAGAGCAAGATCCAAGCCCCGAATCCGCGATGCTCATAGACTTGCTGCCTCCTAAGCTGATCTCCGGCCTGGCGTTGTGGCTGGTGGGACTGAGGGCTTCTTCACAAAAGGGAAGGAAACAATCAAATCCACCTTATGCTCAATCCGAGGGCTCCAAGGGTCTGGAATTGCAGAGCTAAGGAATTTCACTAACCAATTCTACAGAGAGTCTGCAGAATGGCAATTCATCTACAGATTTGACCGGGGCTTGAATCGACATTAACTGGTTGGCGCATTACAAAGTCAGTTTCTCCTGCCTTTAACATCCACATTTCCACATTAAAAGTTAGGAATGGGACACATGCAGCCCACTTAATTAGCCTCATTAACATGAGTCTTACAACACAGGTACTTCTGCTGTTATATGTTCCTTGGTTTCTGTTATTTCCACTCCAATTCATCTGATGAAGTGAGTTTTGCCAATGGAAGCTCATGATTCTATGTATTTGGGTTACTCTCAAAGGCACCACAGGACCATTTGTTGTTTTTTAAGGGAGGCCGTTTGCTACGCCACCAGTGGGACTGTCCTTCCTGTTTCTTAGAACTGTTTGAAAAAGTCCACGCCACTCTGCCTGCCTTGGTCCCCGGGACAACAGCTGCAGCACTGTTTGCTTCTAACAGAAAAGCAATGCCACCCATCCAGCAGTTATGAGCAGCCCTACAATAACAGCCCATTCCACACATCCTGTTGCTCACAAGCAAACCCCGGCTGGCAGCCCAGCATTCACAAGCCACCCTATGAAAATAAGCCACCGTGCGCATCCCAACACTCACAAGTAACCCATCGATAACAACCAACTGCTGCGTGCAGCCCAGCGCTGGCATGAATCCAGAGTATGTTGCACCCCGTGAGACGAGAACCAGCATGTGTTGGGGGGCAGTCCCTGGACTTTCAGAGGCGGATAGTGTCCTTTAACCTGCTCCGATGTGCTTGGGTCTACAGCTCCTTTCCAAACTCATCCATCCACCAGGCACGCCCATGGGTCTGTCCTATGGAAAGAGGTAAGCAGGGGTCTCTGATGTTCTCCAGGTCTGTCTCTCTGCTGGAGTCATGACTCTCATGTCCACAGAGGAAGGTGGTCTCGGCAGGCCCTCAGGACCCCCTGCTGGCCGGGATGTGCAGAGGAGAGGAAGATGGAGCAGAACTGTGTCTCATTCACCTGGGGCCACTGCTGTTCTGCCAAGCAAGGGTTCAGACTATGGGGTGGAGTGGGGCTGTGTCCACAGTCATGCATGTCTCGCCACATGTGCTGCGTGTCTGCCTTCATCCTGCTCACCCCAACAGCCCCGTGAGAGTGCAGGGAGAAGATCCATGTGTAGGGATGGAATGTGTGGGGAGGCCTGGGAACAAGCATGGGGCCATCTCCCAGCGTATACACATGTGCATGCCCAGATGCTTCCAGAGACGGGGGGGCTTCTTATCTGATGTTAAACTGCAATCAAATAAACAAAAGGGAATTAAATAGTCCCATCTGCTCTAACACAAAAGGGAAGGCTCAGACCCATGCCCACACACACCTAAGTGCATTCACACACACACCCTCACACCCACACCTGTACGCCTGCAAACGTATGCTTACCTACATACATAGAAACCACCCTGGTTTCTTATAAGAACACGGATTAAGGAGACAATATAAGGGGTGAAAAAAAAGGTAATAAGATGCTTTACAATGACACAAAAACATCACACATACACACACACCCATCTATATATACGCTATGTCTACATTCACGGCTTCTTGCACAATAATATCTTGTGCAAGGGTTCTTGTGCAAGAAGTCTTGCACAAGAAAACGTCCACAGTGCCATGTGCGCGCTGTG